CAGTGTGTGTGTGCTGGTGAGTTCAGGGTGAGTGTGAGAGGAGAGGGACAGCAGTGACACTAGCAGTGTCTACAGTACAGTCAGGTGTGACAGTGAGTGTGCTGGTTAATCATTCACGATGAGATTTCAACCTGATGCCTTAAAACGTCTCCCAGCCCTTTTTACAATACAGGAAAGAAGAAGACAAAGCAGGCATGAGGCTAGCACGGCTGCCAGAGTTTCCCAGCAGCAACTCCAGTCACGTTACATGCTCAGCTGCAAATGTTGCCAGACCTCCTCCACACTGTTTCCTCTGTTCTTTCCCCTCTCTCTCTCCTCTTCTCTCCATTTTCTCTCTCTCCCTCTCGGTCTCCCGGCCGCCAGCTTCTGTTTCTGTTCCGACACGGAAAAGTCGGCATCACCCAAACCGCCGGGTCTCTCCCACACCAAACTGGCCTGCGCTGCAGGAGCTGCTGCCAGACGACTCCACCCAGTCTGGGCCCCTTCGTGGGGCCTCCGAGCTGCGGAGCGAGAGAGAGCGAGACAGGGAGAGAGAACCTTCTCCCACACTGTCCTCATCCCTGTCCTCCTAGCTCTCTGCTTCCCTTTCCTTCGTCCCAGCAAGCCGGAGACAGCTCCTTCTGCTTCTCCATCTTTCTCGCCCCCCTCCTCCTCCTCCTCCTCCTCCTCCTGCCCTCCGATCCCAGGTGACACCTTCTCCCTCTCGTAGTCCAGCGGTTTTCCTCTCCCTTCTCCCGCTCCTTTTTCTCCGAGCCACAGTGGGGAACCAGGAGGTGGCCTCTTCCGTTTCTCTCCCTCTCTCTCTTTCTGGATCCACAGGGAATCGAAAAAGTTTCCCGAATCTGGAAACGGTGGCTGGCGAGTCCGAGGCATCCTGCCCCTGGTCCGGGACCAGCGCCAAGTCTCCCGGATGTGCTTTCCAATTCACCGATCCCCAATTCCCACCTCGCCAGCGCACGGCGGAATCCGGCCTCTCTTCCTCGGTCCTCAGCTGGAAGGACTGAAGCGGTCAGTCCAGGGCGGCTGGCACACCCAACCGGTGGGAGCTGGCATCTCTCATGCCGGGCAGGTCCCTGGTGGCTCGTTCACAGTTTAACATCCCTGTCAGGCTCCGTTCCGAAATGAATTCCGGCTTGGGAAACCGCAGTGGAACTGCCATCTCCACATGCTGGGACAGGGTAGCTCAGACAGAGAAAAAGGCGGTGTCCTTAGGATGAGGTGGAGAACTGAGCTCCTGACTCTCTGTGGTCATTAAAAATCCCAGGGCATTTCTCGAAAAGAGTAGGGGTGTAACCCCGGTGTCCTGGCCAAATTTCCCCCTGGTCTTTACCCATCATGGACTCCTAATAACCCCCCTCTCTGAACTGGCTTCATCACTCTGCTCACCTCCCCACTGAGAGCTGGTGTGTGGTGAGAGTACTGGAGCATCATCCAGGTGGGGCTGCACACTGGTGGCGGTAGTGGGATTCCCCACGACCTGTACAGTGCTTTGAGTGGTGTGTCTAAAAAAGCACTAGATAAGTGTAAGGAATTATAATTAATAATAATAGGGAAGTGCCAGCATCTTCGATAAACACTATGAGTGAGTCTGTCGGGGCAGAGCCAGACACGGATCAGAATCCTGGGAATTCGTCCTGTGATCCCACAGCTGCGTGCTAAGTGATGCGTCAGGGAGAGGGGAGGCGTCCAGGTTATCAGGTCTGTCTTGCTTACACCCCTTGTTGTGCTCCACCGCGGTCCCCCCATGGCTGGGGCCACAGGCCCCCGTGCCTCTGTGAGCGACGCTCTTGCCCCGGGGGTGCAGCGCGGAGGACCCTGCGGGATCTCAGCGGCATCCCTGGGATCCTTCAAAAAACTGCTGGAAGAGATCCTCGGATCACTTAGAAAACCTTGGATCAGAAAGAGATCCCTGGATCAGTAAGGGATCCTCAGATCAGTAAGGGATCCTTGGATTACTTAGAATTCCTTGGATCAGTAAGAGAT